TGTTTTTTTTTTTAAATTGTATCTCTATGAGAAGATGGATGTTAGCTAAACCTATTGTGGCAATCATTTCACAAGATATGTAAATGAAACCATCATGTTTCATGCCCTAAACTTATACAGTGCTGTATGTCAATTATTTTTCAATAAATCTGGAAAAAAAAATCCCAGTAAATCCAGAGTGATATATGAATAATCATTTGTTAACTTAAGACTTTTTTTTTAAAAATTTACTTATTTATTTGAGAGAGAGAGAGGAAGTGCAAGTGGGGGAGGTGGGGAGGGGCAGAGAGAAATGATCTCAAGCAGATTTCCCACTGAGTGCAGAACCAGACAGGGAGCTCCATCTCACAGCCTGTGAGATCATGACCCCAGTCGACATCAAGAGTCAGACGCCCAACTGACTGAACCACCCAGGCACCTGAAGACTTTTATAAATCACTGGTGTCCTTTGCCTCATGGTTGACTAAGTCTAGATCCCTGCTTTAATTAGAACAGAGTCACTTGAGAAGTAAAAATGCCTAAGGAAATGCAAACAAGTGGGGGTGTAATAGTGTTGTATTATGTTTATAATTTGCATTTTCCTGATGATCATTGAAGTCAAATACCTTTTCATAAAAGACTTCTGGTTTCGGCAATATTGTGTCCTAGAGAACCTGAAAAGTGTTCCTGCTCAAAAACCTTTTGAAAGATAGATAAGATATAATAACTTTCTGCTAAGAGAGTTGATCTTAAAAGTTTGCATCACAAGGGAAAAAAATTGTAACTATGTGTGGTGATGGATGGTAATTAAACTTCTTGCAGTCCTCATTTCACAAGACAGTTGACCCTTGAACAATATGGCTGTGAACTGCATGGTCCACTTTTACACAGATGTTTTTATAGTACAGTAGTGTATTTTCTCTTCCTTACAATTTTCTCAATAACATTTTCTTTTCTCTAGCTTACTTTATTATTTTTTTAATCTTAAGTTCAGTGTAGGTAACATACAGTGTTATATTAGTTTCAGGTGTACAATACCGTGATTCAACAGTTCCATACATTACTCAGTGCTCATCCTAAGTGTTCTCTTACCCCCCTCTGCCTATTCCACCCATCCTCCGACCCACCTCCCCTCTAGCAACCATCAGTTTGTTTTTTATAGTTATAGCTTACTTTATTTGTAAGAATATGGTATATAATACATATAACATACAAAACATGTATCAATCAACTGTTTACTTCATCAGTAAGACTTCCATCAACAGTAGGCTATTAATAGTTAAGTTTGGAGAGAGCCAAAAGTTACAGGTGGATTTTCGACCACGTGGGGATTGGCATCCCTAACCCCCATGTTGTTCCAGGGTCAACTGTATGTACATATATCAAATAATTATGTTGTACACCTAAAGCTAATATAATGTTATATGACCATTATATCTCAATTAAAAAAAAAAAAAAAGCAAAGCAGGGGCACCTGGGTGGCTCAGTCAGTTGAGCATCTGACTCTTGATCTCAGCCCAGGGCTTGATCTCAGGGTCATGGGCTCAAGCCCCATGTTGGGCTCTACACTGGTAGGCAGCCTACTTAAAAACAAACAAACAAAACAACTTTCATTTAAATATATAACTGAGTTTTAGGAAAGTAAGAAAAATCCTCAAAGATGAAAAACGTAGGAAGGACTAAAGACAGAGTTGTAAATTGAAGCTGATGCTAGGACTACCTGGGGATAAAGAATATATCTTATTAAACCCAGGGGCCTGAATTTTGTTTTTCTCTTTTTAATTGGTTATGGAGTGTCTTTTTTAAATTAACTTTTTTTTAGTAATCTTTTTTGAAGTATGACATGCACAAATCATAATTGTATACTTCGATTAATTTTAGCAACATGAACACACGTATGTAAGTAGCATTTACACCAAGAAACAGACTTCTCTTGCCGGCACTCCAGTAGTGTCCCATTTAGTCACTACTCACCGCCTCACGGGAAATCCTACCTTCTAACAGCATCAAATTGGTTTTGCCTGTTTGGACTTTGTATAATGAAAACACACAGTATGTACTCATCTGAGTCTGGCCTTTTTGCTTCACATTATGTTTGTAAGATTTATCTACACTTTTGCATTAAGTTGTAATTTGCTCACTCTCATTGCTGTATACGAGTGCAGTGTATGAATATATTGTCATTTGTTATCCTTTCTACTGCAGATGGACATTTAGGTTGCTTTCACTTTTGAGTTATAATGAATAGTGCTACTGTTAACATGCTATACCTACCTTTTTGTTAGCGTCTGAACATATTTCTTTTCTGTATATACCTAAGAAGGGAATTGCTTGGCCATAGGGTACGTTCCTACATTCCTCCTAACCATAATTGTAGGATGCTGACAATTCAGTAGATACTACCAAATAATTTTCTGAAGTAGTTGTACCAGTTTACATTTCCACCAGCTGTATATGAAAGTTCCACCAACACTCAGTATTGTTTGTCTTTTTCATTTTGGCCATTCTGATGGTGGGCGTATACTAGTATTGTATTATGGTCATAATTTACATTTTCCCGATCACTACTGAAGTTGAGCACTTTTTCATATGTTTCTTGGAAATCTGAATATCCTCTTTTGCAAAGAACCTGTACAATTCTTTTGCCCATTTATTTTTTTAAGCTTATTTGCCTTTTCTTTTTTTTTTTAAGATTTTATTTATTTTTTTGACAAAGAGAGACACAGTGAGAGAGGGGACACAAGCAGGGGGAGTGCGAGAGGGAGAAGCAGGCTTCCCACGGAACAGGAAGCCCAACGCGGGGCTCGATCCCAGGACCCTGGGACCATGACCTGAGCTGAAGGCAGAAGCTTACCGACTGAGCCACCCAGGCGCCCCTTGTCTGCCTTTTTCTTGTTAACTTACAGGAGCTCTCTAAGTGTTCTGGACTTGAGTCCACATATATCCAAAAAATATCTTCATTTTTTTTCCTAATCTCTACTTGGCTTTTCATTGTCTTTTGATGAACATAAGTTTTTAATTCAATATAGACCAGTCTATCAGTTTCTTCCATTATGGTTAGTGCTTTTTATGTCTTCTTTAAGAAATCTTTGCTTAGGACAAGGTCATGGAGACATTCTCCTATGTTTTCTTTTAAATATTTTATTGTATTTCATATTTAGATCACAATCCATCTGGAATTTATTTTTTCTGCATGATGAGTCAGGGGTCAAACTTCATTTTGTTTCAAATGGATATCCAATTGACACAGTACCATCCTTTTCTACTACACTGTCATGTTTCTCATAATTTGGGTACCATAGATTTGCCTGGGTGGCTCAGTTGGTTAAGCATCTGATTCTTGGTTTCAGCTCAGGTCATGATCTCACGGGTAGTGAGATTAAGCCCCCTACATTGGGCTCTGCGCTCAGTAGAGAGTCTGCTTGAGATTCTTTTCCTCAGCCCCTCCCCCCCAATCACACACTTGCCCTTTCTATCTCTCAAATAAATAAATTTGAAAAAAAATAATTCAGGTACTATATGTGTGTGTGTGTGTGTGTGTGTGTGTGTGTGTGTGTGTGTATTTCTGGACTCTCTGTTCTGTTCTATTGGTTTATCATCTATCTTTGCACCAGTACCATACTGGTAAGACTAGTAAGATAAAGACTGGTGTAGGATGAGTTCTTACAAAATTGCAAAACAATAGAAGAAATCCTATTGGGAAACATCAGTAGACCCAGTAAATGTCATATCAGATGCTTCCCCCAAAACCTCAGATAACAAAATTACCATCTACAGATTATTCTAAAACATGTTTAAGGTACGTAAAAAGCAGAGATCACAAACAGAAAAAGCAATTTTTTTTGAAAAAGCAATTTTTTTAAAAGACTAAACTGATTTTAAAAAGAATCAGAATTTCAAGGAATGTAACATGTACTCCTTAAAATTGAGAGTATTCATTGATTCCGTGCAAGTGGCAAGTCTTAGTTAAATAAATGAACTGTTTTAACTGTGGAAGCATAAACATGACCCCTGATTATTGTCCTTTCCAACTGCAGGCATTAAGCAACCTTCCATCTTTTGTTGTTGCTAATGCCAGCAGACATGAAATAAGCAGGAAATACGCTGAATGGGCGGGGCATCCCTATGGATTCATCTCCAGGGTATTTGGTCTGAGTGACATTTAAACTTTTTTTTTATTGGGCACCTGGGTGGCTCAGATGGTTAAGCATCTGCCTTCAGCTCAGGTCATGTTCCCAGAGTCCTGGGATCGAGTCCTGCATCAGGCTCCCTGCTCCTTGGGAGCCTGCTTCTCCCTCTGCCTCTCTCTCTCTCTGTCTCTCATGAATAAATAAATAAAAATCTTTAAATAAAAAATAAAAATAAAAATTATTTATTATTTATTATTTATTAGAGAGAGAGAGAGCACACAAGTGGGTGACAGGGGAGGGGCAGAGGAGAGGGAGAAGCAGGCCCCTCGATGAGCAGGGAGCCAAATGAGGGGCTTGATCCCAGGACCCATCCGAAGGCAGTCGCTTAACCACCTGAGCCACCCAGGCGCCCCTAAATGTGGCATTTTTGTGAAACGCCACCAAGAGGGTAATGCTAAAAAATGACCAAGCGAATAAGCCCCATCTGGCTGATTCAGGCTTAGGCTGTGTTACAGGCAGCTGACATAATTCTCCATACTTACTTTCCCCAACTTGGATAGTGGAACCAGGTTTTGGAGTAAGATCTGTATTTAAATTCTGGTTACACTGGTTATTGCTATATCTGGCCCAGAGTGGGCATCCAGTCCCTGAGGCCTCCCTTCTCCTCCCACTCCAGAAGACTTAACAAAGCCAGAGGCCACACAGATTGTGCTTTTGCCCGTCTGAGTCCTAATGACCCTTAGGAAGTAGGAATGGTAGCAATTGACCATCTCTGTGTCAGTCACTGCCCTAGATGATTTATATACGTTACTTCACTTCGATCCACACAATCACCCTGAGATAGATATAGACACAGATATAGATGATTTCCCCCATTTTATTTGCCCAAAATCACATGCTAAATTGTGCCAGAAATGAGATTTGAACCTATGTCTGTTCCCGGTTCTTTCCATAACACTAGATTGCCTGACTTGTGGCTTATTTCAAGGCTTTTTACATCCAGCTTCCTTCTGAACAACATATTTTCATAAAATTTTAAACACTGGCCAGTAAGCCAAAGGACTCGGCTGATTTTCTTCTAGGCGGCTTTGTGGTCTTTGACAGTCGTGGTTCTGTTGTAGGTCTGGCTGCTTCCCTATAGCCTGTGCTTGCTGCACGCTCTTATGTCAACCGCTCACCCAGGACAGGCTGGATTGATCTTTCTTGACGCTGCCTTCAAAGCCAGGATGAGGCTTTGAGAGGGTGGCCAGTAAATGATGGGATTCTGGGGAGCCATCCCAGGTAGAGTTGTGTTTTCACGCACCAGCACATTCGTGGAGCAACTTTGGTGTAGTCGTAACGACAGCTAATGAGTACAAGTGAAGTTCAGTTCTTTGTGTAAACAGGGAGAGAGCATGTGTCTGAACGTAATTCCGACTGCATCGAGGTCATTTCAGAGCTGGTGGAGCTCTATTTGTCTTAGGAAATCTCGAAAACTTTTATAGGGAATTCGGAAAATATTTTCAGCCGGCAGGAAAGATAAAATCCCTGCTCACAAAGTACAGGCACGGGCCCAGAGACCGAACAGACAGACTGCTGTAAAAGGCCCGTTTAATAAGGCATTAAAATGCCATCGACCTGGACACATTAAAAAAAGAGAGAGAGAGCAATGAAAACAAATACCATTCAAATAATTAGGATCTTATGCCTGAGGCCAGCCTGGATGCCAAGCAGGGCCTTCCCTGCAGGAATCGGCGCGGGGCCGATCCCCGGAAGGAGGGATCGGCTAAGACAAAAGCGGTTCTGCGCCCCGCTTTTTTTCCCCAGGCCCTCGCGACCGCCCGCCCCTTGACGCTGAAGGCAGGGCTTTGGAAGTAGTCCCCCTCGCCGACCTCTCGGGCGGCTTTCCGGCCCAGTGGCTCCCCTGGGGGTCCGGGGCGCTTGGGGGGCGGGGATTGCCCAGCCGCCCCCGGGGAAGGGCCGGGAGCGTGCCCCCCACCCCGCGGCGAAGCTAGCCGCCGCCGGCTTGTGCCTTCCTGCTCCGCGAAGGACAAGGAGGCATTTGAAGGCCTACTTTATTGGGTAAATATGCTCCAAATTGGGGTGAGGGTTGGAGAGTGGACATTTGTTTGCGAAGGTAGCTGTGAGGGGAAAAAAGCTGTCTTTTCACGAGCTCCTGCAAATACGGAAGCTGCCTGCGAGCTATTTCCTGCCGCCCCACCTTCTGAATAGTGGAAGGCCAGGTGCGCAGCGGGCCGCACACTTCATCCCCGTCCGCCCCGAGGTGGTTCCCCGAGGGCTCAGCCCCAGAAATGTAAAAAATAAAGGACTTGTCCTCTTCTTTCTGCAGGGACCCCGTGTGTGTTTGTGGCACCCGCAGGGTACAAGGCTGCCTGTTGCCAAGCCATGCCTAGCAGATCTTACCAGAGGAGCGGCATCCCGTTGCGTTTTCAATCGCCTTCTGTCTCTGGTACGAATTGAGAGGGCCTGGTATTTTTCGCCTTTTCGTGCACTTTCAAAAACTTCTCATCTGGATTTGTGTCACTGATCAGTAACTTTTGTTAAAGAATCCAGAAGAGAAACTTGTGACTCTCTCTGTTTCTAATGTTCTGTTTCTTCCTCTTCCTGTACCCTTTGCTTTTCTTCCAATAGATTGTAATTGCCAGAAAAATCTGACAGTGAGAGATGGGAGAGAGGGAGAGAAAAAGAGAGAAAGGGAAAAGAATGAAAGAAATATAATTAAAATCTAAGCATTTTCTGGGGTTAATTTGAATTGGACCAGTTGGTTTTGTTTTGCCATACAAAAGAAAAATTGAGGCCTTAGGGCCTAAAACTTTCATTAAATTCAGCTTTGGTGAGTTCTAATAATACAGAGGTTTATTAAAAGCGTGAAAAATGTCATTGCCGAGGCCTTCCCTAGACAGTGGCCTCACCTCTTGGGTATGACTCATGCTTCCTCCATGGCCGCCTGAGCTGTAAAGTTGTGGGCAGGATATTTAAGGTCCAGTGAACCAGCTCCTTGAATCTTTCTTGCCATTTTGCTGGGATCATGTCCCAATTAGCAATCTTGCCATCCAGAGTGGTAGCCGGACAGCAAAAGCGAGAGAAGGGCTGGGGAGCTGTTGCAAATGATTAATCCAAAAGGGTAGCGTGCAATTTAGCACTTAGTCCCCGGCAGGAGTCTGCCGGAGGAAATGAAGAGATCAACAACATGAGAGGAGCACTGTGGCCGATTGTTCTGACCACAGCCACAGGCTTTTCTGTGTGTGCCGGAAATTGACCTCGTCAAAAGCTGAGGAGGCAGGCGGGGCAAGCACACCGATAAGGCAGGTGATGATGCTAAATCATCCACCTCTCAGAGCTGAGGAGATTGCTCCATACCTTGCCAACCTTTCCCCCTCCTTAGTCTATAAAAAGCAGTGATTTTTTTTTTCATGAAAATGCAAACATGATGATGGACTGGTACTAACTGGACCAACAGGAAGCATAATAATAAATGAAAATCCCTTTCATTTCTTTTTTTTTTTAAGATTTTATTTATTTATTTGAGAGAGAGAGAGGAAACACAAGCAGGGGGATTTGGAGAGGGAGAAGCAGGCTTCCCTCGGAGCAGGGAGCCCGATGCGGGACTCCATCCCAGGACCCTGGGACCATGACCTGAGCTGAAGGCAGACACTTAACAACTGAGCCACCCAGGTGCCCCCCTTTCATTTCTTACTGAGTATTTTCATGCAGGGCATCTCATTTAGCCCATGAAGCAAGCCCAGGAGGCTGGCGGCACAGATAGTACTCATCTTTCTCCGTAAAGAGGAAATTGAAGCCAAGGAGGACTGGGGGACCCCCAACAAAATAGTGGCAGAGTTGGGACTTTCTTTCAGGAACAGAGTAATTCCCAGCGTCCCTGAGTATGGCAACGAGCTTTGAATGAAGGAGCAGAAAGCTCAAGCTGTCTCTTCCTGGAGGCACAGCTGAAGACGGCTAGCTTCTCCCCTGGAGGGATACCCTTTCCTAAATGTCCCTGAATGTTGTCCTGAATCCTAGACGAGCCCCATGCCCCTGGAAGTGTGAGGTGCTCAGAGGGCTGCAAAGACCAGGCCGGATTCTTCCCAGCATGGCCCTCCCACTCCCTTTGGCACTCTATACCTAACTGCTCATAGGCTTTGGCATCTGTTAAAGGAGGTTTAACTATGAGACAGGAGAAGCAATAAAGTCCCGAAAAGCAATAAAAGGAATTTCCCAGAAAAAAAAAAAAGTCTACATCTTTTCAGCATCTAAAATGAAACCTGTGCAGACTGGCATCCCATGTTGGGGGAGGGGGACATTAATTGAGCTCAGTTTTATCTGTATTATCTCATTTAATCTTTTCTATAACCTTGGAAGAAAGGGAGCACTTCATTACCCCTAATTAACATACAGGGGTACAGAGGCTCACAGAGAATAGGCATACAGCTAATAAGTGTTAGGCCTCCAGGCCCATTCTCTCTCCACTGCTTCGTTGTGCCTCTCCATCTCTGGTAGGGCACGTGGAGCCCAGACCATCACAGTGACTTCTGTAGCACCCCTTAGCTTCCATACTTTTTTATTTTTATTTATTTTTTTAAAGATTTTATTTATTTAAGAGACAGAGTGAGAGAGAGAGAGCACAAGTGGGGGAAAGGGAGCAGAGGGAGAAAGAGAAGCAGACTCCCCACTGAGCAGGGAGCCTGACACGGGGCTCCATCCCAGGACCCTGAGATCATGACCCAAGCAACCCAGGCATCCCTCCATACTTTTTTTTTTTTTAAATCTCACCTCCCTTCAGCAAAAAGCTTACAACACATACCCCAATATATTATTTATTATTTATAAATTTATTTATAAATTAGACATATTTACTACTATACTAACCTAGACATTAGATATTTGAAAAGCATGAGATAAATATAAGTAGAGAAAGAAGTTTCTGTATTTCCTGCCATTACCCTTCTTTGGAGAGAGTCCTGCTATAGATTCAGACAGAGTCCTGAATATAACTAAGAAATTCAGGATTGCAGACATTATTCATGGAATTACAGACCGTCAGTGCTGCAAGGGTTATGAGGAGCTGTGCGGGAGAAGGGAAAGGGGGCTCAGAAAAAGGACGAGTCACATAGCCGGTGAGGGACAGAACTGGGACTAGAACCCGCATCTTGTCACACCCAGTCCCAAGCTCTTTTCACTGCTCTACACTGATAATAAGGAGCCAAAAGCTCATTTTCTTGGGCTAGAAAACTCAGGTCTCCAGTGTGACAGGCCATAGCTTAATGCCTGAACCTTCGGTGCCGAGTTTGGAGTAAATTCGGGTCCATCAACTGCCCTGAAGAGATAGCCCTTGGCTTTGAGTCTGGGCCACGGAACATGTGGGCCAGGCCATCAGCACGTGGGGTCTAAGGGAAGGAAGACTGTGCTGTGCTGTATTTGGTGTTATTAAAAGCAGCTCACATACTTTCCATCATTCCTAATGGAACCACGTCATTTTACAGACCCAGCCCTTGCTTCAGGCACCCTAGCTAGGAATTCTTGGTGTAAAGAACAGTGACTCCAGAACGAGTCTCTTCTAGGTCATCCCGAGGAAGAACTCTGCAACAAGGAGTTACAAAGGCAAGGAAAAGACACCCCGGCTCTGCCACCCAAGCCAAGTGGGACTTGGGGCCATCCCCCAAACACTTTATAAATAGTTGTTTTAGAGTGACCTAGATTATTTACTAACTCTGCTAGTTTGGACCATGCTGTCCCAGCCTCATGGAGAGGATGAGACCTAATGCAGTGACAACTTAATCCCCCAGTAAGGTAGAGGGCAACAAGTTCATGGCCAGCCTGTGGTGAGTGGTTGTATTTAGTAGAGACAATGATAAATCTAAGTGCCACAAATTCTTTACTAAATTATATTTGGAGGAGTCTCCCGCTTCCTTAGACCTAAATCTAAGGAAGTTTCAGATTAGAGCATCCTAAGGAACTTACCTACTCAGGTGTGATGAATTGGCTCATCTGCGGCTGTCCAAGCTCATACAGGCACCTGCTAGGGAGACGAGGTCCAGCTGAGTAGGGATGAAGGACAAAGGAGCACCATCATTTCCTAAGCATGCACCCTGTCCTAGGTACTTTGTGTAGGGAGCCATGTTTGGGGGCTTCTTGTCTTTGGCTTTGGGTTTTCTCTTCTTAAGGGAGAGACAAGGCCAGTCCTATCTTGGCTTAGGCTGAGTGGTCTCCTGTAGAAGGGCTTGGGAGAGGGGACAATTTGGAATCCCTGAAAGAGAAAGAGATATAAGGACCTGGAGGGCAGATGCTGGAAACAGTCCCGATCTAGTACTCCTGGGGCTCATTTGCCCCTAGCAAACAATTGGATAAGACAACCTAGAGTTGTCGGTGTGAGCAACACACTCTCAGTGCAAGCCTACTGGGCAGGAGGGTGTTCAGATAGCTTGTGACCCGGGGAGCTAGCCTGTGACCCTACAAAATGAGCCGCAGGAGTGCCCTGCTCTCTCACCACACCAGCTGGCGGCCAGAGCAGGGCAATCAGGCCACACCAAGCCGAAAGCTGAGTCACTGGTGAAGGCAGTACTCCTATGCTTGAGCAGCCCCTTGCCTTCTGCCTGGGCAGTTCCCTGGCTCCCATCTCTGAACAGCCATCACCTCCCGAGCCATGCTTTAGTGCCCTGGAGTGCTGCTCCCTACAGCCCGAAGCTCTGCAACCTCACACAGCCGACGCTAGAAAGTGCACGGCCCAGGCCCAGGGGCTTGGGGATTTGCCACGACGGCGGACACTGCCAGGCCGGATGGAAGAAAAAGGATACAGATGTAAGCGAGCTTTAGAAAACACAATCTGCCTAAATTAGCATGTGTTTGGGGGTGTGCGGGTAGGGAACTGGAGACTTTGGCTGGTGGTGCCATTTACCAAAACAAAGAAGGCAACGGGATGTTTGGAGAGCTCAGGTTTGAACTGGGGTGGGGGTGGGGGTGGAGGCGGGGCTTGGAGATCCTGACATCTCTTAAATGGAAACATCCAGGAGACAGTCTTGGGAGAGGGAAATGAGATTAGATTTGAGATTTGTCAGCGTATGTCGGTGAAAGACCTAGGAGAGTCCCTAGTGAGAAGACATGGCTAAAGCCCCAGGCCTTGAACAACAGCCACATTAGAGGCCTGGACAGAAGAAAATATTTCTAAGAAGGAGAGCCCAAGAATCAGGAGGGAAACAAGTAGGGTGAAGGGGCCCAGAGTCTCTGTCCTCGTGACTGAGAGCGGCAACCACTTCCCGGAGTTCCTGTCATAGCACTCGGGCACGGTTTCGTTGACTCTTTTATTCCGGGCACTTCTATACTCATCACTTACTTTTCTTTGTTCCTTAAATGAAATCTTTTAGTTACAGAAGTAATACATGCTCGTGGTAACAAGGCAGATAAAACAGAGATGTATGGGGAAACTATCAGAAAAAATAACTCCTAAACCTCTTAGCCCCTACCACACACACACACACACACACACACAAAACGTCACAGACTCACGCATCACACACACACACACATACACATATATGCACACACACAGAGGTTTGTTTTTTGCTTTACATTTCACACAAATGGGAAACCATACCTATTACGTAGAAAATTTTTTTCACACAATATATCATGGAACTATATATTTATATATTTCATT